ACATTTCCCTCATTCATTCTATCTTTTCCTCTCTTTCTTACTCTTATTTCACTGAGAAAATAGAAGCAGTCGGAGAGAACTTCCCACGTGCTTCCCCCACCTCTGCCTACCCGTCTACACCTCTGCCCACATACTGGTCCTTCTGTTACTACCAATGAACTGTCCCTGCGGCTAACACCAATCCTTCCATTTGGGCATTTGCTGCCAGTCCCGCTACTATTAACCTATATCCCTACAGCAATTCTTTCCTGGATCGCCGGTTTCCCTTCCTACCAGTATACAAACATGCCGGAATATTTTTCGTCTTACATCCACTCTCTCTTGACCTTACATTCCTCTAGAGCTTCCTCTTATAGCATAAAACCTGAAACCAGTTGTACCCAGTTTTCCTCCCATTCTTTCCTGAACTGGTCCAAACAGGCTATGCCTCCACTTCTCAGCCAAAACCTCTTACCAAGACCATCGGGAACTCCACCACAGCGCTAAATCCAAGAGTCAGTTTTCAGGCCACATTTTCTTTGTGTAAATGCGAAAGCAAACGTACAACTTTAAAGTGCTTCTTCATAATTGTGAGAGGTTACCATTATTATCTGAAAACCAGTAAACACTTAAAATTGATGATTGCCCATTGCTGCAAAGATAAATCCTCTATTTTCCCATCCCCTCCCTATTCCCACCTATCTGTGAAGTTTTTCAAGCCTGAGTGTGGTTGCCTTGCATCCATGTGTTCCTGCTCTGGCATTCAATATCCAGTATATATATTGGATGTTGAATATGTGTGTGTGCCTGTGTGTGCATTATGGGGCTCCATGTTATTCCAATGGGAACATTTGATAAAGTGAAGGTCATTCCCAATCACCCTTCTTTTCTGGAATTCCTTGGTTTTCACCATCCCCCAGTCTAGAAAGACACCTCCATGTCTGAGCCCTCAGAGCTCCCTCTGTTTTAGGGCCCTCCCGGGAGAGCCCTCTGTGGTGGGGACAGGGACCAGGAGCCCTCCCAGGCCCTCTGTCCAGGGATCACCTCCTTGCGAATTCAAATCAGCATGATTCAAGGGAGCTCACGGCAATGACCACAGCCAACGCTAGCAGGTGTTATTAAAAGGGATTTAATAATCTTAATTAAAAACTCTCAACAGTGAATTCTGTCACAGGCCTTGGCAGCTAGAAGCAACTCCAGGGGATGCCCCTTCGGGGTGTGGTTGAGCCACGGTCTCGGATCGAGGCCCACCACTGCCACGTGGCAAGGAGCTCCCTGGAAGTTACTTCAGTACAATATCAAAGATCTGCAAGGAATTTTTTTTTAAAAAAAGTTTTAAATATATTAGACTCTCTTGATTGCCATTTTTACACAAAGCTGCTGATACAGTATACAGAGTTTTAACTTTTTTTCACATAAAATACATTTTTCTTAAATGTTCTCTGTACATCAGTGGCTTCTGGTCTGGTGAATTATTGCGGAGGGCTGGGGGTCTGCAGACTTTTCCTCAGTGCATGGGGCCAGGCCCCGCAGTGCAGCTCTTGCAATGCCCGGGGGAACAGGCCCTCTGGTGAACTGGCCAACAAGAGTCTCCTGCCAAGGAGAGGACTACAGCTTCTGGCAAAGGAGGTCACTTAGGCAGTCAACCACTGACCACAGGACCCTCTGCTCTTACATGCACCGGGGCGGGGAAGGCTGTCCCCAGGCCACAATAGAAAGAGTTAAATATAGTCCTGGGTAGCTCGTTAAAAACTGCCCTTCTGGAAAGTGCCCCAGTATTCTGCTCTGGGAAAGCAAGTGGGAAAGAGAGCTCAAGATCGAAAGGGATCTGACACCAGTCACCAAAATGGTCTCATGTTATCACAAAGCCAGCAAACCATGGTGGGGCAGGACAGGGGACACCCCCTGGGAGCTTTCCTACACTCGCTGAAATTGACCAAACAGTGCGGAGCAGTTTCATCGCTGCTGCATATTTGATGGAGAATAATACCCTGAACTCCTCAGTAGAGCTGGGTCTAGGGTTTATTCAACTTCCCTGCGTTCTTGCCAGGAACTCACTACCTGATGATGGCCACCAGTTTTCAGTGGTTTTTGGGCACAGGGTGGGAACAAAGGCCAGAGCTCCACCGTGAGCCACGTGGCACATGCTTTGGAAGTAGCCTCCTTTCATCCGCCTGGTCTCGGAGGGAGTTGAGCCTCCAGCAGACCTTGCTAGCTTTCTTCAAGCTCCTTGAGCCACACCCACCGGGAGGAGAGGCAGACCCGAGGAAAGGCTTCAGTGTTAAAGGAGAAGTTCCTCGCCTCCCATCATCCATCAGTGGGGCAGGGGGACTCCGTAACAAATAAGCAAAAATGAACAAGAGACAAGAGTTTCAGAACTTGAGATGCACTCGACAGCAAATCCCAGACTCTCAGTTCTTCTACATACTGACCTCAAACCGCTATTACACAGTGCCCCAAAGATGCTGGCCCAAAGGCAGCTATCCCTGAAAGTTCCAGACAGACTTGGAAGGTGTCTCCCTCGAACTCAAGATCCAGCATCTGCAATAGTAGCAAATGTTATCCAGGGATGGCCACAGCAGCCATTTCCCCGCTGATGAGTTTTGTACTCTAGGGATTCTAGGAGCTAGAAGCTGGGTTGAAGCTGGACTAGGATATGGTCACTCTGTCTCAAGTAAATTGAATGGGGCTGCTGACAGTCATGTTCCTCCACGGATGCAAACTGTAAAACGGGGTCTCCTCACCCTGTCTTGTTCCTCCTTTACCCCCAGAACCTAACATAGTGCTTGGTAGGTCTCAGCTACTCCATAAACTACGTCAGCAAATAAACAAGTCACCCCGACCCCACCTTGTCCCTCAACACCAAGGAGACCCTTAGGGAAAGTTCCCCAGGTTCCTGAAGCCCTAATAGGGAATGGCTTACCCCGACTGAAAATGAGAGCTGAAATGCCTGGGAGTCTGTAGTCGGCTCCTGTCGGGGAATCAGCTAGGATTCCCGGCCTTCCAGGTGGGGTGTGAATGGCCCAGGAGGCAACCAGTGAGGGGAAAGGAGGGAATGGCCAGAAGGGCTGGCTCAGCGTGGGTAGTGAGCGCCTTCAGTCTCTGGCTCCCGAGCATACAGATCAGGAAACCTGCCCGGCCCCCTCCTGGGAGTGTATGGCTTCTTCTGCTTGCAGCTTATGTTTGCTCCAGAGGAATTCAAGGTCAGTCAAATCTGAACACTGTTCTAAAGCCAAAGGTGTGTGTGTTCTGGATCATCCCCTGCCCGGCTCCAGCCCCAGGCTGACACGATGGAGAGCCAGCCCCAGATGCCAGGGCCGCAGGAGGCATCGTGCCTGCCTGTCTGCAGCCTCCTGAGCTGCCCCTCTACCCTAGACTGGGTCTGTCCTGGAGCTGGGGTGGGGCTGGCCTGGCGTTGTGACCCTCCCTGCACCCAGGAGCCACCAAGCGCACAGTGACGCCACTGAGCCTTTTGCTCTCTGGTCCAGCTGCCCTGCTCCTGGTAAAGCATCCGCCAGGCCCCTGGGATCCAGCTCCCTTTCTGGGCTATGGGGCCATGGAGGCCACAGCGGGGACGGGGACTGATAAACAGCATACCCCATCACTAGAATTGTGGCACCAGTGGGGGGGGGGGCTCCTCCAGCCTCAGCCCCCTCCCTCTGGTCCAGGGGCCCCTCAGGGAGAATTTCTCATAGGCTCAGAAAGAAGATTAGAAGGAACCCAGAGTGGTCCCCTGAATCCCGGAATCAGGACTAGGGGATGCCTTCAGAGCTCTAAGGAGGTAGTTTCAGGACAAATAAAAGGCGCAGGGCAGGGGACAAACCTGCTGCTTATTAAGTACACCAGTAGGTTCTGGCTGAGCCTGTGGACAGCAGTTTCAAGGGGGCTCTTGAGAAGATGCAGGAGAGAGGCGGTGGGCAGCCTGCCCTCCCCAGTGTTAGGGAGATCATGGCTGTGAAGCTGTTGAGCCGTGGGAAGGTCCAACTCCAGCCCCACCACCGCTCTCCTGAATGCAGTGCAGGGTGTTGGCCGTGGGCACCTTGGATTTGCAGCCATGCGGTGTCACCACTCCCATGACAGCATGCTGGGAGCCCCTGGGCCCGGCAGGATCTCACAAGGGCCACCTGGCAGACTTGTCTTACCAAGCATTCCAGAAAAGGCAAAGCTGGGCCGGGGGTCCTGAGCATTGACTCTGGGAGGAGTTGGGGGCTTCCAGCGTCCCCCACTGCTCACTCTGATGGCTCAGGCTGAGGAAGCCTAGCTGACTGAGGCTGGACTGAAGCCACCTGAATATTCACAAAGATGGCCCAAGGCACTGGGCTCGGTCACAGCCACTAGAGATGCTCACAGAAATTAACACCAACTCACTCCTCGCCCTCGAAAGCCCTTCCAGCACAAGCTACATGTTTCCGACACCAGTCAGGAAAGCCCAGTGATCATGATGCTACCCAGGAAAGAAAGCAAGAAAGCAAGTTTAGTTATCTCCCACCTGGAGTCCTGCAGCCTAAGAGAATTCTTTTATCAAGTGCACTTTTGGACACACTAAATTTGTTCCCCCTTCCCTCTAATTTTTGATACTTCCATCCAGAAGTAAAATGTGACTTAGATTATTCCAGGAAAGGAAGAGCCTGGCTCTCCACCTCAGCCTCCGGGTGGTCACACTGCTGGCTCTCGACATGGGCAAGGCTCTGGGGAGCAGGACACTGCCCATCTCATGGACTCATGTCGGCTCACAGCTCCCTCTGATCAAAGAGTGGACCTCCTGCTCCTTCCAGATGTGGATGGTGGCCCAAGCCTCAGTATGACTCTGGGTAGGACTGTGGGTCTCAGCTTAGCAGGCCCCGTTCCCAGCTAAAGCCATGCTGGCAGTGGTGATATAACAGAGTCTTAGCCTCAATCCTTTTGGGAAGAGCCCACAAATTGTCAGTCCCACCTGCTTCCCGTGAGCCCAGCTGTGTCATTCCTACACATGGTTGAATATGTGTGTGTGTGTGTGTGTGTGTGCACACGCACGCGCGAGCACATGCACACCGGTATTTGATATGCGGGTACTGGTCCAGAGAAGCCTTTACCAACAACAGAACCAGAATCCCAGCCCCCCCTCCCAAATATGACAGCGGGGAGAGTTAGGAAGCCACGATGGGCCTTGTTTCTGACGGCAGACAATGCAGCAGGAAGCGGAACCGTGGGACGTGGCGATGCTGTGGCCGCTGGGTGAGAGGTGGGGTCAGCGTTCCCCTGGAAAGCAGAGCCCACCTCCCCGCAAGCTGCCCTCTGATGTCTCCCCAGCCAAGGCTGCTGGGGGGGTGGGGGGGATCCTGGATCCCAGAGACCCTTCCCCGAAGCATCTCTCTCCTCCATCACACAGAGACTAGGAGATGCGGCAGCAGCCGTGGACCTTTTCCTCCATCTCCTCCATGGGGGCCTTGAACTTCAAGAGCGGGGGATCTCCGCTGGTGACGGTGTAATAGACGGAGGCGCCATTGCTGCTGTACGGGGAAGTTCTGCCTCCGATCAAGGGGGCCTTGCCTTCACTGCTGCTCTCGCCCGTCCTGGCCATGCTGCTGCCCAGGTGGGTGCTCAGGAAAGGGTGGCTGAGCAGCTTGGCGGCAGCCCGCTGTCGTTTCAGCTCCAGAAGCGTCTGGGGGCTCTGTTCCTTGTAGCCACTCCAGGGAGGGGTGGCGTCGGCCACACTGGGGCTGCCATAGGCCATGTTGTAGTCGGGCACCTCGTGCACTTTCCAGACGTCCCCGTTGGACAGCGCATACTGGTAGGTGCTGACCGGAGCCCGGAGGCCGTTCTCAACAGGCCCATCCATTTCACTTCGCGGGATCTTGGTAGAGAACTCAGAGAGCAGCACGGGTTTCTCCAGCCGGGGGTTCTGAGGGGGAGAAGGACATGAGCAGCCGGTTAGAGGATCTGAACTCACTCCCCACTTGCACTTCTGTGGAGGGCATTCTGGTCTGGACCTGTCCTCCCACCATTTGCCCAACTGGGCTAACAGGACCTGGATTCCGCTTTGCGGGACTCACCAATCTGTCTTTTGGGAGAGCTGACTGATCCCCATCCTTGCCGCAGGGGCTGGACCACGACCCCAGGTCTGGCCCATCAACATACTCCCTGCAGGAGTTGGTTCTTGACTGTAAAGGAGTCCATGAAACTGAGCCCTTGAATGTGTGCCAGAACACTTGAGAAAGAGAAGTTCTGTGTGTGCAGAACTCGAGGGTAGTGAGAATGTTGGAAGCTAGGGGCCTGGGGAGACTGCACGTCAAATGGCCTGCTTGACGTTGACCTGACATTGGAGGGAGACCGAAGGGGTGCTCTGAGAGCCCCAGGACCCAACTGGTCCCAGACTTTGCAGTTACACGAGCCGAAAAATTCCTGTTTCATGTCACCTGATTTTAGCTGAGTTGTTTCTTTTTTTAAGATTTTACTTATTTATTTGACAGAGAAAGATCACAAGTAGGCAGAGAGGCAGGCAGAGAGAGAGAGAGAGAGAGAGAGAGAGAGAAGCAGACTCCCCTCTGAGCAAAGAGCCCGATGCGGGGCTCGATCCCAGGACCTGAGATCATGACCTGAGCCGAAAGGCAGTGGCTTAACCCACTGAGCCACCCAGGCGCCCCTTAGCTGAGTCTTTGGTCACTTATAATCCTTCCTCTGTATTCCCAGCAAATACCCACTCTGAAAGGCAGAGATTCTAACCCGGAAATCCCTGGATAACAAGAGCTTTAAAAGGAGCTGCAGCCTAGAAACTATAAACATGTGGCTACGTTTGGTGAACACAAAAATGTAAAGCATAGTTAAACTCATCATAAATGAAGTCAAAAGACACATTTAAAAAACTGCAACATATATGACAGAAAAGCGATTAGTTTCCCAAATAAAGCAGAACTCTTAAAAATCCATTTTAAAAAGCCCAACTAGCGGCGCTTGGGTGGCTCAGTGGGTTAAAGCCTCTGCCTTCAGCTCAAGTCATGATCTCAGGGTCCTAGGATGGAGCCCCACATCGGGCTCTCTGCTCAGCAGGGAACCTGCTTCCCCCCTCTCTCTGCCTGCCTCTCTGTCTACTTGTGATCTTTGTCAAATAAATAAATAAAATCTTTTAAAAAATTAAAAAATAAAATAAAATAAATAAAAAGCCCAACTATCCAACAGAAAAAAAAAAACAAAAGAGGAGACTAATGTGCAGCTCATGGCAATGATAATAATAATAATAATAATTAATAATAATATTATTATATATAATTATAATATTAAACATATGCTATTATATTTATAGCATATAAACACAAGAGAAAATATTCAATCTCGCTCATAGTTAATGACATGAAAATTAAAGCAACAAAATATCTTTTTACCTGTCACACTGACAAATGTTTTAAAAATGTGTTATGACTCGGCATCGGCAAGAGTGCGGGGAAAGAGGCAGGTACGTAAAGTGCCATAGTCTCTTCGGAGGACAACATCACATCATCTCCCCATCCCCCAAAAGTTCGTTTTTATGGAAGAATGCATACTTTGCACAAGCAAGCCCATTTCGAGGACTTTATTTCACAGATACATGTCCCTTTAGGGGAGACAAGCCTGAACGTCACCATTGGGCAGGTGGGAAACTAGGGCAAATACTTGTTCTGGAATGTTCTATATCTGGTGAAAAGAACAAAGACAACCTTCCTGTGCTGACTCGCAATTCCAGGAGTCTCCACTTCCTGGAAAGATCTCCCAGAAATACACAATTAGGTTAAGTCACAGTAAGGCGAGGGCACTTTCCACAGCAAGCTTCCCTGTAGGTATGTCTGTTCTTCTTATATTTAATGGCATTTCTGAGCTATGCAGGCAGACTGATGCCGCATTTGTGGCATTTTTTTTTTCAACTTGAATTTCTGTATCTATTTTATTTACTTCCAAATTGGTCTTGGAAAGACCGCTTTTCATTGTCTAGATCAACGCTTCTCTAACTCTTTGTGCGTATGAGTCACCTGGGGCTCTTGTGAAAGGGTCCATGCTGAATCATGGGTTCTGGGTTGGAACTGGAATTCCAGTGTTTCTAACAAACTCCCCATGGTGCTTTGACAAGCACGGATTTAAGACACTAGTTCTCAGCTTCAGAGGCTGGGGAATTAAATCACCCTACATCACCTGGGGAGTTAAAAACACTTGCACAGCGCCAATCTGAAGAGGCTACGTTGTGTGATTCCCTCTCTATGACATTCTGGAAAAGACAAAACCATGCCGACAGTAAAACGGTCAGTGTTTGCCCAGGGTTTGGGGAGGGATGGATGGGTGGAGCACCAGGGATTTTTACGGCAGTGAAAGTATTCTGTATGAAACTTTAATGATGGCTATATGACATCACATATTTGTCAACATCTGTAGAATGTCAAACACCGAGGGTAAATCCTAACGTAAACTATAGGCGTCAGTTAACAATCATGTATCTATATTGGTTCATCATGGTAATACACCTACCACACTAAGGCAAGATGTTTATACCAGAGGAAACCAGCAGACGTGATAAAGGGGGTGTGTGGAGACTTTAGGTACTTCCTACATATGTCTTCCAGAAACCACAACTGCTCCAAAAAATCAAGTCTATTGATTTTTTTTAAAAAGTACATAAATACAAAGCCTAGGCCCCAGGCCCAAAGATTCAGATTTAATTAGTCTGGGTTGCAACCTAGACACCAGGATTTTAAACGAACAAAAACAAAAACACTTCCCCAAGGAATTTTCTGGTACAGTTAAGTTTGTGAGCCACTGGCTGAAGAGACAGGGCTGCTGCCTGCCTCCCGAGCCTTGTGTCAGGGCACCAGCTCTGCCAAAGTATGTGCAGGGTGTCAGCCCTGGTAGCTAACTGGGTGGTCTTGGCAGAAACCCAACTTGCAGGTCAGACGGAGCAAACACTCCCTTAGATGAGGGGTTATCAAGGTCTGGTATGCCGCTGAATCCCCTGGAGAGCTGGTTAGGGCACAGAGCACCAGTTAAACCCAGAGCCCAGGGTGTATGTTCAGTTCATGTAGGGCAGGCCAGAGAGTCTGCTTTTCTCACACGCTCCCAGGCGACACTGCTACTGCTGGTCCAGGGACCCACGTGGAGAATGTCTACCTTAGAGGGTCTCACAGCCTTGTCAGTACCTAAAGCCTTGAAAGGGATAGGTCAGAGAAAGGAAGGAGCTCGGGGCTTCATAGCTGTGCCCTGCAATCTTGGTTTCCCCCAGGATCTGGGGCCCTAGACCCTGACAGGTGTCCTTGGGACTGGACGTCTGGGTGATTGGCCCAAAGCCCAGAGCTCCTTCCTTTTTCTCTGCGAAGCAGGCCCTTTGTTTGCCTTCACCTAACCCCCAAACCAAGCACAGCGTTGATGAGAAAGCTGCAGAAGTTAAGGACAAACTCAGACCACATCCTCCCACCCCCTTCCCTGCAGGGCTGATGCTTTGTGCCGCCCCACACCAGCGAGGACTTCTGGCAGAGTCCTGGGCTGTGAGATCTGAACAAACACAGGGACAGGTGGGGGCGGGGGGAAGCAGCTGCTTCCCTGAGCATTTCTTCCCCCCCCCACCCCCTGAGGATTTCTTTAAGAATCTGCAGTGTCTCCCACAGATCGATAAGGAAAAGGGGCAAAAGAACAGACACTGCACGAAAGAAGATACGCGGTCGGCCCATAAGCACATGAACAAGCGTTCTCCATCGTCCACCATCAGGGAGATGCAAATTTAAAATGCGAGCTGCAGCAGCAAGCAGGCCAGGACGGCTCAGATGGAGAGCGATGTTACATCAGGGACCGGTGCGAAGAGCTCAGTGCGGCTGCTCAGAGAGCAGATGGGAACAGTCACTCTGGAAACTTGTGTGGCAGTATCTCTAGTAGCCTCCCCATGAGCTGTTCTGCATTCCTGGCTACACGGTCCTACAGAAAATAGGGCCTATGCCCACAAAAACCTCATCTAAGAATGTTTTGAGCAGCTTCATTCAAAGTAGCCCCAAACGTGAAACAGCCCAAATGTCCACCAGCAGAAGAGTGGACACATGTGCTGTCGCATATTTAAACAACAGAACTCTCCAGAGTGAGGGAAAAGACTGAGCTACGGCTCTGTGCCTGCACAGGGATGAGTCTCAGGGTCCCCAAGGAAGTCAGACGCACAAGACTACAGACTGCCGGGGCCATTCACAAGCAGATGTGGGCACAAACCTCCTCTTCAGTGCTCAAAGGTAAACAGAGCTGCCTTTAGGGCAGGAGGACCGCTGACACAGAACCCAGGAACTTTCTGGGGTGATGGAAATGCTCCATGCATTCATTTCAGGGGACACGTTTATAAAAGTTCAACTGAAAAACCCATTTCAAATTCATGTGCTGAACATAACTTCCCCGCACTCACAAAGGAAAGTCAAATAAATGTGATTTAATTTCAGTCTGCATCTCTCTTCTCCCCAACCCTAGAAGTAGGCACAACAGAGCCTCTGAGGCACCCTCTTGTCCCCAGCCAGGGCTGTGACTGGATTCCCTTGGGTGGGCACCTTTCCCGGCTTCAGATCAGCCTTCATGTGACCTCTCTGTTCCAGCTGGGGGGCAGGTCCCACAGAGATGCGTGGGTACTCTGAGCTAATCATTTTTCATTCCACCAAAGCAATACTTTCCAGAAATGTTTTCAGCTGCTTATCATTGGTGGATATACCAAAAAGGCAGACCACTGCTATGGACAGTCAGCCTCTCTCTTTCTGTCCCCAGCAATTCTGCTTTGGTCCCAAACTTGCTGGCCCCACTCAGCAAGCCAGCAGCCGTGCATGAAACCCAAGCCTGTTGGTACTGAGTAACACAGGGTCCTCCCAAAATTCCTGGTCACCCCACGTATCTGAATGTGACTTTAGTTGGAGGCAGAGTCTTTACAGATATAATAAGTTAAAATGGGGTCATCCTGGATTGTGGGCGCTAATCCAATGACTGCTGTCTAAGAAGAGAAAACAGAGACACAGACACACACAAGGGAGAAGCCACATGACCACAGAAGCAGAGACTGGAGTCTGGTGGGCAAAGCCAGGGTGTGCCTGAGCCACACGAAGCTAGGAGAGAGGCACACAACAGATTCCCTTTTGGAACCCACAGAAGAAACCAATGCTGTTGACACTTAGACTTTCGACTTCTGGCCTCCAGAACTGTGACAGAACACATTTCTAGGGATCTGAGCTACCGAGTTTGTGGAAATGGGATCCAGCGATACTAGGAAACTGACACAGCATCCCCTTAAGAAAGCAGTTCAACGCCCAGACCAGCAGCTACTCTCAGAGCAGCCTTCTTAGGGCTCCAACGGGTACCCTGCTCAGTATTTCCAAACATGTTTCCCAACCACATGTGCTCTGTAAACACAGTTCTCCACATCTTGTTATGTCCCCCCCCCAGAACATTCTATTGCTGTTAGCACCCAGGGGCACTGCTGTACTGAGCCTCTCCTTTGAGGAGCCCAGAACCAGATGTGCCAGAGCACAGCAGACACACAGCAGGGACTTCTTGTCTGTTAGGAGACCCTCCTGGCTGCCAAGGCACCCAGTTCTGACTCTCACACACCAGGACTGCCTCAAGAAGCACAGGGGCCACCAGCACCACAGGGGTCCAGCTGGTGTAAGGGTGCTGTCCAGCAGCCCTCCTTCTGAAGGCTTTGAAATGAAGAGGCCAAGACCAGGCCGGGGCCCTGTCCTCCTTCCCAGTATCAGCTGACACCAAAGCAGGGCACAAGGCCACTCACTGGGTCCTTGTTCTCTTGGTCTGTCCTGGTCTCCCTGATGTCCCCGTTGTAGGTGGCAGTCCGTTGGTCCTCTGCCGCACTCCGCTGCTGCCACAGTATGGCCTCTCCCTCATACTCCTTCCTGTACAGGTTGGTCCTGTCCGACAGGCTGGCTCGACGCACCACCTTCCTGAGGGGAGAGAGGAGCTGCTGGAGGGCTGGGCCCAAGCGCCACGGGCAGGAGTGCCCCCAGGGACCACGGCCGGCCTGCCCCGACTCACCCACGGCTCCCGGCGCTGGAGGTTCTCCGGCTCAAGGATGACTTGTGTCTCAGCTGTGACTTCATGATGACGTCATGCTTGTGTTTTAGCTCCAACAGCAGGACTTTGAACTCCTCCTCCTCACACAGGTCTGAAGCAGGGGAGGAAGCTGTTGTGGGGAGCAGTGCCAGGACTGGTGGCCCCCAGGAGCCCTCTAGACCACGGGAGCTGCCACCCAATGCACTGAAAACTCTCAGCATCTTTGGGGGGCATCCAGAGAGGGGAGTAAACAATGCTGGTCTCACTTCCTGGGCTATACCCCAATCCTTAGAGGATAAGAACAGGAAACCCAGGACCCATATAGTCATAGTTCCTAAGGTTCTCTGCTATGACCAAAAGATCCATCCACCTTCAGTAGTTTCCAACAGGAGTCATCAACTCTCCAGTGATATAGGAAGTATTGAGAGAAACAAGCAGGTACTCTATGTAGCCCAAGCCAAAACTTATATATATCTCGGATCATATATACCTACACGTTCAATCCAACCAATCCCTTCATTCCTCTACCCACCTAGTCACTGACCCAGCCATCCATCTGTAGATTCATCCCTATCCACCCATCCACTGATTGATCCATTCATCCATCCACCCACCCATCCATCCATCCACCCATCATCCGTCCATCCAACCACCCATGATCCATCCATCCATCCACCCATGATCCATCCATCCTCCATCCATCCATTCACTCATCATCCATCCATCCACCCATCCATCCATCCACCTATCATCCATCCATCCTCCATTCATCCACCCATCATCCATCCATCCAACCACCCATCATCCATCCATCCATCCACCCATCATCCATCCATCCTCCATCCATCCATTCACTCATCATCCATCCATCCACCCATCATCCATCCATCCACCCATCATCCATCCATCCTCCATCCATCCATCCACTCATCCATCCATCCATCCATCCACCCATCATCCATCCATCCATCCATCCACCCATCATCCATCCATCCATCCAACCACCCATCATCCACCCATCCTCCATCCATCCATCCACTCATCCATCCATCCACCCATCATCCAGCCATCCTCCATCCACCCACTCATGAATACATTTATCTATCCATCCATCCAGCTATCCATCTGTACAATCTACCCTTCATTAACATATTCATTCATTTTGCTACCCATCCACACACCAGTCCACCATCAAGCCAACTGTATATTTTACCCAATTATCCCACTATCTATAAAAACACCGATGAGTAGCTAAGGGTGTTCTGGATTTTATGCTGGACTTACCTATTGGCATTTCATCCATGGATGTCCTAGCACTGAGACTAGCCCCATGGGACACCAACAGCTCTGCCATCTGCATCTGAAACACAGGAAGAAGCCCACATTCCCCTTGGGCTCAAAAAGCCTGGGAGGTAGATAGAGTGCCCCCACATTTCTCAGGATCTGACATAAAGAGTGATGGGGCAAAGCCGGTTTGCAGGGAAGGCCCTGCACCCTGGAGGCAGGAATCCTGGCAACCCAATGGGCTTGACACCTCCTCCAGCATTCCTGGGCCATGCCAAGGGATAGGAGAAGGAGTCTGCTGTATATCTAGAACTGCCAGGCATCTAAGGAGGGACTGTAAAAGCTGCAATCAGAGTTTTCTATCTGGGAAACAGAGGGAGAAAGGACCAAATCAGAAGCATGAAGAATTACCTAATTTGGTAAATTTGTTATCGTCTTCTTAGAACACAACTTATCAAATGTTTTTGGAAACTCTCTAGGTCTTTTCCTATCCCACAAACTAGCTATAGTCAACACCTTCAGTGGGTCTTGTGAACCAACTGCCAGCCCAAAGGACAGCGGGCGGGTCCCATGTGCCGAGCGTTACCTGTCCCCAGAAGGCAGCTGCGTGCAGGGGCTCCCAGCCATCCCAGTCCTTCACATCCACACGCACTCCGTGGTCCAGGAGGAGCTCGGCTGCCCGCAGGTATCCGTTGGCTCCAGCGATGTGCAGCTAAAGGGGAGGGGAAAGTGGGTCTTCCCTATGGGTGCCAATCCCACTTTTAGCGACAGGTAGCCCTCTTCCCAACCCAAATCCCAGCTCATTTCCAGGGACGGTAGAATGGAATAGAAGGAAGCAGAAATCCAGCCACACTGCAAAGTCTTATTAAGGCCACTCTTTATCCTGTGGTTGGTGTGAGGGCCCCTGTGATTAAGGCAACAGCACTTACTGAGTCCCTACCATGTGCTGAGCTGGGAGGAAGGGGTTTCAGAGGCCCAGCGTGGTGGTTTTAAAATGTCTACACATTCTTTGATATACCTCTCTTAAAAGAGGAAGTTTAATTCTCTTGCTTTGAATGTGGGCCAGAACAAGTGACTCACTTCTAACAAGTAGGACATTGTGAAGTGGTGGTGTATGATTTCTGAGGTGAGGTCATAAGAGGCATCACTGCTTCTACCTCCTGCTCTCTGGGATCAATCCCTCGAGGACAAAGCAGCCATCACGTAGTACAGAGAGGCCGTGAGGAGGTGAAGCATGGAGGCCTCCTGCTGACAGGGGGCACTAACTTGCCAGCCACATGAGGGCGCCATCTTGGAAGTGCATCTTCCAGCCTTATTCCAGTCTTCAGATGACTGCAGCCTCCTGAGAGATCCCCAAGCACAGCTACCCAGCTGAGCTGTTCCCAATTCCCTAATCACAGAAACTATGTGAGGTGATAAATATTGATCATTGTTTCAAGAGGCTAAGTTTTGGGTTTGTTCGTTACATGATAGGCAATCAGTATGTCCAATAAAGGAAAGCCTCGTGCTGAGGTAACAGCTCTCCTGTCTGACACCATTCAAGGCCTCTGGTGATAGACACCACCCTGGGGACCTCACTTATCCCATCTGCTTGATCTCCAGAAAGTACATAAAGCATCTAGCACGTGACAGACACTCAGTAAGTGATGAACATTCTCAGAGAGCCGTGAGGGATGACAAGGTTCACATGGAAATGGAGGAAGGAGGAAGGCAATGAGATAAAGAGACACCAGCTGCCTAGCTGAGGTGGGAGGCAGAGGGGAGAGCCCAAGGAGGCCAGCAGAAGGCTGGCTAGGAGGAGACCAGGGAGCTCTGGGGGTGCTGAGATTTGGGGCAACAGCATTGCAGGCAGTGGGACAGAGAAGGCTCGGCCCCGGAAAGCAGCCCTTCAGAACGCAGCCCTGACGGTCAGGCGTTGCCTCATCCTGAGGTACAGCTGCTATAAGGTTCAGGCAAACAGATGTTTTCCTTTATTTTTCAATTTGCAGAAGAAGCCTGGGGTGTGATCTGGTGCAGGCACCCACAAAAATTACAATAATCATCTGATTTATAAATGTGTGATGTTTGCCAGCTGTGGAGACGACAGCCGGCAGGGCCAGCAGACATTACAATCTGTGTGGCCTCGTACTTGGTGGGGAATAAAAGGGTATGACTGGGATAGGGAGAGCGTTAATAATAATGATGATAGTGTGAACCACTGATACCTACTGAGAGTTTAGAGACTCTGGGCTTCGCACCTACATGCAGAATCCCATTTATTCCTCCCAATAACCTGGTGGGGAAGGGACGAATAGTAAACCCCACTTTACTGGGAAGACCTGAGACCCAGTACGGGCCTGGCCCATGTGGTCTGGGCCACCCTGAGGCCAGCCTCAGTCCAAGAGGAGGAAACCTGTGTGTCTAGAGGGCCAGCCACAGACCCAAAGGGGCGTGTGCCCTGGGACATCCTGGCTTTGCCTTTATACAGCAACGTTCCATCTCACTATGTGACTCTATCTTTGATGGCTGCGCTGAGCAGGGACCCATTAATGGGTTAACAAGGGGATGAGGCAGAGGGTGGGGCTCAGGAACCAGGTGTCAGAAGGCCAGTTACTATGTTTGGGCCACGGGTCAGGCCTGGGGGCAATGAGGGCTCTCGGGACTGCTGAATCCTACTGGGTAAGTTCAAGATTTTGAGACTCCTGAGTGCTCCTGGCCAGCATGGACCCCAAGCCGAGGCCAGGGCCCAGCCATTGGTGAGGAGAAGGTGGGTATGTGGGCGTCCCAGGCCATGCTCCTGTTTTCAGTTTAAAGCCTCAGTTTAAACCCTCCCCAATACCGGGCTCCATCCTGTAGGAGAGCCTACGAAGAGAGGTCAAAGCTTCCAATCCCTGACACTTGAGCTGAAAGGATGAGTGGAGCTAATCAGGCAGACCTGAGAGAGAAAGAGCTCCCTTGTTCTCTATCTCCAGGATCTAATGAAACCTGGGGCACACAGGTGTGTGTTGCCTGGATGGAGGAAGGAACCGATGGATGGATGGTTGGATGGATGGATGGATGATTGGGTGTCTGGACACAAAAGTCAAAGAACCCAGGGGACAGGCTGTTGCATGAGGTTCGGGGAGGCTGCTAAGGCTGGGCAGAGAGATGGGAGAGGTGATCCTAAGGCAGGGGAATGGACGGTGCAAAGCAAGGTGGCATGCACAAGTGGGTGGCTGGTGGCTCCAGTCTTTACGTGGGAGGCACCACGGGAGGAAGGCCATGTGACGGGCTTGGATGGACACCGGGAACATGAGGTGAAGGAGGAACTGGGAGACAGAGCTGGTGAGCAACAGGGCTCCTGACCCCCAGCCCCAGCTGAGACTGGCCAGATTCTCCAAGGCGCTGAGCCCTGTTCTGCTAACTCTCCGTATTTCAGGAGCAACCCTAGCCCCAAAGTGAGTCTGGAGGAGGTTCAAGGTCACAGACAGGCCCCAACTGTATCAGCTTAACCTCAACCAGATGCAGGTCCACCCCAGCTGGTCTGGTGCTGAGCCCCCAGCCCGACCCGCCTGGCCCATGTGCTCACCAGCGTGGCGCCCTGGGCATCTATCCAGTCAAGGTCCTGGCCCGCTGCGATCATACAATGGATGTCTGCGATCATCTGCTGCTCGGGGGCCGCCCGCATCTCGTTGATTTTCTCTTGGGTGATGCCTGTACAGGGGAGAGGGGGCCGAGTCAGCACCCCGGGGCCAGGCCCCAGGCAGGGAGGGATGCAGGGCAGACGGGCGAGGCTGCCGGGCAAGAGAGCAGACAGCCATGCCCACGGGTCACTCTCTCCCAGGCCCAGTGAACACACACCCGCGCACTGGCCCACAGAACAGGGGCCATTCCTCCCTGAGGCCCAGGAGGCACTACACGAGCACTGTTTACTGTGAGATGTTCTGTTCCTCCGCACCAGAAATCCCCACCATCCAATCCCCTCCATCCGCTCAAATGGCTGGCTCTGCCTCCAGCCACAGATCTGGCCGGGATTGCCCCCCTTGCTGACCTCCCCTGACCACCTAGCTGACCAGGGGCTCTGCTAGTTCCCCTCGTCCCGTCCACGGCTGCGTTTGCGGCACGGTGCTTCATGGATTTCCGTTACAGGAATGAGTGAATGGACAAACATATAACTTCTGAATAGCGAAGTGGAGTCAACGGAGGTGGGAGGACCCGGACAGACGTTCTGTAGCCTGAGTCTCTGGCTACAAGTCTGAGTGTTACCGGCAGCGACTAAATGTATTTAAGGAAGTGAAAGTGACATGTTCTATTCAAAGGTCCATTAGATCGAACATTCTGGGACAGAATCTGGGGGAGGTCTGTAAACTGAAAAGGAGGAAAAAAAAATTACAATTTCACTCGCATGAACCCTGAACTGAAATGCAGCATTTCGTTCCCTGAGGCCCAAAGTCAAATCCACAGCACGACAAGAAATGCCTGTGACTTCAACACCAACAGAAAGTGCACCTACTTTCCTAACGTGCTACCTTGCTATTTCGTGAATTAATCAAGTTTCTACATAACACGTTTAGGAATATTTTGGTAGCTATAGTTTAATATCGTTGGGTTCCTTTATAATCAATCCTGAGATTCTGAGAACTGCATCTGAAAACACAATTCCTAAAGAGGGGCCCAGAGATTCACCAGACTGGTACAAAAATGCAGACAGTCGGCCAAAGATGGACAGGCAGCCCAGATGCCAAGGAATGGAGGGACCACATCATGGTTACCAGAGAGCCCTGGGAAGGAACTCAAGGGCAGGGTCCCAGCCGGCCCTTACACTGTGGCCCAGGGTCTGGATTTGAGCTGTCTTCTGGCAGAGACCTTCAGAAATATGTCCCCGTGGTGGTGGGGCAGACAGGTCTCTGATTGCTACATTTGTTTCCTCTCTGAAGCTCATTTGTGAGCTGAGAACAGCCCACAGCTTGTTTACCCCAGCCCCTGGCAGCCCGCGTGGTGCCTGGCACAGAGCGGGCACCCGCGAATGTTCTTGATTCTTGATTATTTTCCCAAATGGAAATATATCTTTCTCGTGAATGTTTATTGAGTTGGATTGTCACAGCTGACGAAGAGGAGACAGGGCCAGATGAGGCCGCCCACGCGTGTGGGTGACATGGCAGAGAACAATGCCTCCCTCTGCACAGCACAGCTTTCCAAGGGTCCTTCTGTGTCCTCGTCTTGCTAATCACTGGGATAACCATCGTAACAAGAATCCATCCCCTTTCCTGAGCGCTGGGCACGAGGCAGGCGTGTAGCCGGCTCACTGACGCACCTGTGCCCACACCAGGGCATGCCGCCCTGACCTTACCCTGGTACGCCATGCACGTCTCGATGACATCCAGGGTGGGCTCGTCCTCGCAGAGGTCATACGGCATGTTCCCATCCGAGTTGACAGCGAGTAAGTCAGCCCCACTGCAGAGAGAGGGTGAGAGTGAGGGCCAGGGGAGTGTGGCTAGGGTTGGTCTGGCAGCCTCTGCCCTCCAGCCTCTCGCCCGCAGCTCTGCTGTGCACCCCAGCGCCCCCAGCCCCTCTCCCTCGCTGGGGCCCCCCAGCTAGGACAGCAGCTTCAGGACTCGGCTTCTCCCAGGAGAGCAGCCCCAGCAGACCTCCACCAGCTTCCTGCTCTGTTGGGCCAGCAGCCAGGCACTTGGGGACAAATGTCAAAGTCCCCCCTGGTGATCGTAACATAAATAACACGAATGGCCCTATAAACACACCATCTTCTTTCATCTTCATCCTAGTCCTTGTGGGCTGTTCCTGTCAGCCCGTCTCACTCAAGAGGACACAGAGACTCAGATAGCCAGTTGTCCGAGGTCACACAGTGAGGACGTGGGAGGATCAAGGCTCAAACCCCGGCTCTGTTTCAGTCTGCAACCCCCTGCAGAAACACCCTAAGCTCTCCCCCACCATCTTCAAGTCCCATCCCCAAAGGCTGACAGCCCAGGGGCAAGACCGAGCCTTGGGGCTCCCTGGCAGAACCTGCTTTTGGGGCCAGTGTTTCCCACGTGGGGTCCTGGGCTGCCCCGCAGAATCACCCAGGCATCCCTGAAATACAGGGCAGCTTCCTGGACTCTACTCCGGACCCCCTGAAACACCCTCTGGGGGTGAACCCACACGCCACGTGACTCTGGTACAGATCAGCGCTGGGGACCCGCTGCGCCAGGCTGGCACCACCCCCTTTCCCTCTGGGCACCATCACCGGTCAGGTGCTCCTGGAAGACTGAGTCACACCCAGGTCCTCATCAGAGCTGTAGGCACGGGCCCCCGCCAGTAAGTCCTCAGGCCCAATGGCCCTGCACAGAGACCTCTCCGTGCTGCCACGTGGCCTTGGGCAAGCTGATCCTCCCCTCTGATCCTCCGCTGTGACCTCCATCATCCCCTGAGGCCGCCTCACAAGCTGCTGCTTTGCTGAGACCTCTGCCAAAGGTCACCTGTTCTTGGGCCCTCTTCCTGACTCCTTGCTCTCAGATGCTCTCCGTGGCCTCCCAGGACCCACTCTAAGCACCAGCACTGAAATCCCCTGGTTTCCTGCCCAGTCCCCTAGCACTTCCGCATTCCTGAGGGACCACTGCCCAGCTCAAGTGCCCACCAATTATCAGGGAATTCAATAGAACCCACTTGAAATGGAATGTTGTCTTTTCTGTGTTTTCAGAACCTGAGCAGGAAGGAATTTGAGGACTGGAAAAGCCCATCAGAATAGCATATGCAGAAATGGCCTTATTCCTAAGGAAGACACTGCTACATGGTGCCCCTCCAAGCAGGTCCCCCCCCCACCAAGGAATAGCATGTAAATCGCATTTGGGAGACAGGGCCAAGGAAATATGTTGTTGTTGTTGTTGTTGTTTTTTAATAGCAAACTAGCCAAAAATGGCAACAAGACATAAAGAGGGTAGTGGAGACAAGTATAAACTCATGGATTCAGAGAGACAGAAAGAAAGAGATTTTAAAAAAGAAAAGGCTACCCTGATATGAAGCCAGACCAAACCCCTACACGGAAGGAAACCCACAGACCCACATCCCTCACGAACACGGATGCAACTGTCCTCCACGGAATACCAGCAAACCCATCGCAGCAGCACATCAGAAGGATTACACACCAAGACCAATGAGGACCATTCCGACAATGCAAGGGTGGTGGTTTGGGAGGGGAGAGCACAAAGGGAGAGACAGAATGAAGAGAGACAAAGAGGAGTAGGAAAGGCACACAGAGATGGAGGGAGGAAGGGAAGCGGGGGCAGAGGAGGAGAGAGAGACATAGAAACAGAGGTGGAGGGAGGGTGTGGGGATAAAGAGACACATCAAGCACCACAAGAGGCAGAGGAAGTGGTGGCCGAGAGGAAGAGGAGAGAGAGGAGGGAGACAGAAAGCAGAAACAAAACAAAACCAACAGAGAGCTAGCGAAGGCAGGGCGGAAGCCCCACGGGGGGAGAGAAGGCCACGTACTACTGAACGAGGATTTTCACCAGGTTGATGTGGCCACAGGTGGCCGCCGCATGCAGGGGCGTCCATAGCTCGTTGTCCTTGGCATTCACGTTGGCACCATGGGAAAGGAGCAGCTTAACAATCTCCTCAAAGTTGTCAATGCAGCACTGCAGAGGGTGAGGGGGAGACACAGGCAGGATCAGCTCCCGCAAGGCCTCGGCCCCGGTGGGGACACGCCAGCTTCCCCTCGGGAGGCCACGAGAAGGACAGTGGAGCCAAACTGTGTCTGAGTCTGAATCCAGCTGTATGGCTTCCATGCTGTGTGACCTTGGGTAAGCCACATAACCTTTCTGAGCCTCAGTTTCCCCATGAGTAAGTTCATAATATTCAAGACGTAAATATAAGTGAAACATAAAAAACATAAGGGAGCGGCAATAAGATGCTTTTGCAAGTGTTGGTGAAATGAAAGGAAATTTTGAATGAGACTTTAAAATCGTTTTTAATTCCTGAAGGCCTTCTTCAAACAAAATTGTATGGACGACCCTACCTTAGAGAACGAATACGTGCAGGGAGGGCTGACTCCGGTTGGAGCAGGAGTAGGTGTCGGTGGGGTAAGTGGGCTGTTGGGGGAGTCTCTCTCCCTGTCAGTCACCTCCAAGGCATGGCCCGAGGTCACAGTCTGATACCTCTGACTCGGGGACTTCTGACCCAGGAGCTCCATTCCTGGGGAAGCCCCAAGTAAACAAGCCTCGCCCCCAGAGCACCCACCCCCACCTCAGGGCTCTGGGGACCCCAATATAATCCCTGAAAGGACATGGCCATGTCTGTGCTCCCTCCTGTCCACATGTAGGCCGGTCCTGGAGAGAGGGCAGGCTCTCAGCAGCCCTTCAGAGAGACAAAGAGCTCTAACAGCCGTTAGAGCTCTCACACTCCAGGGACACAGACAGAGATAGACTCCACGGGGATGGAGGGGCTTCAAGCCCACAAGCAGAGAGAGGCAAGGGCAGAGGGGGAAGACAAGGAGTCACTTAATAGGCCAGGATGGAGAAGCCGTAGGGGATGTGGCAGGGGTCTGGGCTCAGGACTCCCCAACCACGTAAGGGCTCAGCCCTCTTGCAGTGGGAGACACTGTAGTTATACTCAGACAAGCAACATAATCAGACTTGGTTTTTTTGTTTTGTTTTGCTTTGTTTTATTTTGTTTTTTAATCTTCCCTCGGGGTGGATGTGGAGAACAACTGTGTGCGAGCACTTTTGGGGGTGGAGAGGGACAGTGAGAAGCTATGTTGAAATCATCCAGTTAGGAGATGATGGCAGCTGGGCCTACAGGAGTATCTATGGGCAGAGGGAGAAGGGACTGGATGTCAGCAGAAGAATCAGGGGCACCTTTGGGAACCCAAAGCCCTGGGTGTGGAGATGGGTGGGGGGACATGGTGCCCAACCCCATCCCCAGCAGAGCCAGGGCTCAGCACCAGAACGGCATGTGGGAAAGGAGCAGCTGTTTGCACAGAGGATGCCAGAGATCCAGGTTCTCTCTCTGCTCTGGCCGGTCTGGGGTTGGCTGGGTCTAAGGGCATCTCTCCAGAACCTCGGGGTAAAGGGGATTCAAGGAAGGGTGGCTCTGTCTCAAGAGGGTTGAGCGAACCATGCAGCATTGCTGCATGGCCAGCAGAGGGCGCCAAAAGCACTGGCGTGAGGTCGTGGGTAGCCGCAAGGGGCCCCAGGCTGGCTGTAGCTGGGAGGTGGGTCTAGGAAGCCCCTGTCCAAAGGAGAAGTGACTCAGCCCCACCTCCCCCGTGTCAGGGGACAGCAGAGCCAGAAAACCCACCCTTGGGGCTCCAGAAAACGTGAGGATGGGGTGGCAGGGGAGCTCAGGTGGAAAAGGGAGGAGACTGTGCAACCAGAATTGCAGTCTTGTGAGAGCGATGCCCAGCCTGAAAGACTCAGCCAGAGCAAGGGCTGGGCTTGGGGTGCACGTTGCAGTGGTCGGTGGTGGCGTGGGCAGCCCTCCTCCCCCACACTCCACAAGGTAGAAAATGGCACCTGCCGTTGGATGACTCCTCCCACCCCCTCCCTTCCCACATTCAATCTAGCAGCAGGCGTGGGGATGCCGTCTCCTAAGGCCCTGCCCCCAGCCCACTGCCTGCTGAAGCTCCACCGCCTCCCTGTCTCCCTGGCGCTCCCTTTCCTACACCCTGCACCCTCACCAAACCATCAGTCTCAGTTTACAAACCCCGAGGGCTCCCTCTGCCAAGAGGAGAGCCACTCCCCTTTGCCAGTCATGCGAAGCTGTTTCTTAATGTGCTCCTTGGTCAGATGCAGGGGCAGTGACAACAGTAACGACAGCCCCACCAGTCACGTTATGGATAACCACTGGGAGTGCAGTGGAGGAGCCCTGGGACCACCTCGCTAGCCTTTGGCCACGAACTGCCTCATTCGCTCCTCAGAATAACATCCCGAGTGCTCCGGAGCCCTGTGTGGCTAGCGGCTACCGTCCACCGTCCAGAACGGGGCAGATGCACAGGACATCCCACCATCATAGAACATTCTACTGGACGGTGCTATCCCTGAGCCTCAGTTTCCTGAGCTGTAAAATGGGGATAAGATTTCAAAGGGCTGTTGTGAGGCTCACCCTACGCTTCACAGAAGCGAAATGACTGCAGACACGAGCAACGGGACGGATTTCAATACTGACAACACCATCTCACGTTCGTGCCATGTCGGGAGACGCGAAGGGCTGTCATGAGTACTCACTTAATCCTCACAACAACCCAGTGAGGTGGGCGCTAGTTATTCTGATTTCACAGATGAGGAAAGTGAGGCACAGAGAGCTTAAGTACCTTGCCCAAGATCACACAGCTAGAATGAGGGGATGCGGGACACCCTGTGCACAGGAAGAGCAGCCAAAAGGACACATGGGAAGCCACTGGGCTGATGGCCAGGGGTGGGGCTTGCTCCTGGGGCTCCTGGATGGGGGAAGTGGTCAGTCGTTGTCCATCCCTTCCTGCCTTCATGGGGACAGGGAGAAGCTCTTACCAGCCCGGGAGTCCGGCAGCCTGGCCTCCCACCCACCATGTTGCATTCAAGTCCCCCTGCTCAGAAACTTGGGCCAGGGCACAGGGAGGCTTCTGTGTGTTCCTTAAGTCAGCATGCACATATTGAGCACCCACTGTATGCCAGCGTGGGGGAAGACACTAGGACGTACCAATGAACAAGTGACCTGGGCTCTGCGCTCACGAGGCTCTGGACAGAGGGAGGCCAACATCAAACGGTTCAGCTAACCGCTCAAACGGCCACCAGAGGGCGTGCTCAGAAGGTAAGGATGCCGTATCACGCACCCCAGCGCCTGGGCCCTCTCCGCCGCCTGGGGCCGAGCGGGCACATACCCACATGCCCACATGCCCGCATGCCGGGAGAAATGCAGTGCGGAGCAGCCAGTGTGTGGAAGGAACAGAAAGGCCACAGGGCTGGAGTCTGGAGAGCCAGGAAGCCCGGAGGGCTAGTCGGGGGCCAGGCCTTGAGGAGCCTTGTGGGAAGACACAGAGGGCTTTGAGTAATGTGAGACTTTGACCTGAGCATCCCTGTGGCCACAGCGCGAAGAGCGAAACAGGGCGGGGCAGCTGGGTGCTGGGGACCAGCGAGGGGGCTAGCCCTTTGCCCTGCTGTGAGAGCACCTGGTTCGTGGCCACACATCATGGTGTGTGACGCCCAGGCAGGTCAATCACCTCCATCACCAGGGTAGAGGGGTGCCTTGGTGGGTGTGAATAGACACGCTTCATAAACTTCAAGCTCAAAACAAACTTGCTTTGTTTGCAAGCCTCTCGCTGGGCAGTGAGGACGCAGTGGACAAAGGCTCCCTGTCCCTGGAGGCCGCGCGCGTGTGCTGGGCATGCCTCCGCACCGGGGCTCCGGGGGCATGTTCGTAACAGACCCACGTCTCTCCCCCGAGGAGAGAAGAGCCTTTCAGATGAGGCAGCCAAGGATCCCCTTCCCCCCTCCTCCCTAAGGGCTCTGGGCAGGAAAAAGCAGGGAGGTGGGGTAACTGTTCAGGTAGGGGGGCAGCAATCGGGGGACACCAGCGAGCCTGGCCTTACCTGGTGCAGGGCTGTGAGTCCATCCTCATTGCACAAATCAGGGCTGACCTTATTCTTCAGGAAGTAGCGTACTGCAACAGAGGGGACAGGAGTGAGCATCCCGTCACGCACCAGTACGCGGCAATGCGAGGGGCCGGGTGAGACCCACTTTCCCCCATGGCCTGAAGCTGACCATCCTACTGACTCTTTACAACAGGCACAGGAGGACAAGGAAGCTGCTGTGGGGAAACCAGGAGTGAGCTGGGAAGGGCGGGGAGAAGACCATCCGTTCCGCAGGACCGATACTGGGTCAGCACCCCCAGCAGGTGCTGGGGTGTGAGGGGCGGGGGACAAGGTCTCAGGAGCAGTGGGGGATGGGCGCGGGTCCTCAGCTCCATCCTCGCCAGACCCAGTTCCTGGGGCCACAGCCCCGCGGCTTCCTTGGCCTGAGTGAGAACTGAGGTCCACGCGAAGGCGAGACTGAGGCCTCCACCAGGCTTCTAGCAAGAGATGCCATCTCCAGCAGACCGGGGGTTAGGAGTGGCAGGAGTCTGTAGAGGGTATGGTCCACACCAGTCCCACGCGGCGCTGTCTGCAGGCCCCTCCCAGATGCCCCGGTAGCTGGTCTCAGCCTCAGCACTGAGTAAGGTCATTTATGGCACAGCCACAGATCACCAAGGCCCAGCCCACCCATCTGCAGGCCACAGGGAATGCCCTGGTGGCCTTCAGGAGAGTAGAAGTGGGCACTGTGTTCCCATGTAGGAAGGGCTTGGGGAAGATTCTGCTCGCATGAGGCAAGGGTTCAAATCCCATGGTGGGGGCCGTGGAGGGTGGGCCAGGCTTCCTGTTCCGGAAGACAGTCCTTGAGGCAGACATTAAACACCAGCTGCTAAAAGCGACATTTGTGCACAGTAATTATCGGGGTGTTCCCCATGCTGCATGGGATCCCCCGATGTGGAATGACTCCCATGGCGGACAGTTATTTTCAGCCAAAGGTGTGACAAATCACCCCATCTCTACAGAGCCCTTCGTATGCAGGAGCCAAGGCCCCCTTGTATGTGGGCTCTGCTCCAGTGGGGAGCCTGGCTCTGGACACAAGGGAGCAAAGACCCCACCGCCCACACCCAGGGCACAATCAGACTTTCCCGCCTCTGGTTCCACAAGGAAAATGATTCCTACATGCACAGTGTTTTCTTACTGAGCCCTTCCTCTGAACCCAGGTGCATGTACACGGCCTCCTTTCATGGGTCCCCATCTGTAGCTACTCCCCTCATGGAAAAGAAGAGACAGAGAGTCCCAGTCACACGTGACCATGCACAGCAAATCAGATGCTCTGACTCTGAAGGCCAGACTGTTGGCCGCAGGGCTGCTCTGCTCTGACCCCGAGGCCCAGGTCCAGAGAGGGAACCAGCCCGGCAGGAGCCCTGACAGCTCGTGTGGGGAGGAGGGAGAGAGCAGAGCCACAGCAGCGGAGCCCCCCAGGACCCAGCCGGGCCTCCTCCTGCAGACAGACAGGCTCAGGGATCCACACGCAGGACAGAAGGAACACCGCAGGTCCTGGGGGTGCGGTCGGGTCTTTCAGGGTTGTGTTAAACATGAGCTTGCCTCCTCCAGCTTCCTGTTTAAAACCCTCTCGTGGCTCCACCTTGCTCCTGGAATGAAGTCCACAGTCCTTTCGCGGGGCTGGCCAACTACAGTACACGGGCTGAGTCTGGCAGGCAACCTGTGCCTGTAGATCACGTTGTTCACTGCAACACATCCACGTTCATTTCTTTACACGTGGCCTGAGACTGCTTTCACCCGACAACAGCAGAGACTGTATGACCCACAGAGCCTAAAATATTTACTATCTGGCCCTTTATAGGAAAGGTTTGCAGACCCTGGTCTTCAAGGTCCTGCATGGTGGGGTCACCCCTACAGGGTGGCCACCTTGCCCCATTCCAGGGGGCATTGCTCTCATCATAGTCTACGTGAATGGCTTGCCTTAGAGTTGCACAGTGTGCAACTTAATCAGCTGTACCCAGCAGTCCCATCTCCATACCTCTCCAGGTTCATCTCTTGCTCTCCAAGCACCTTGCACCATGAAGAAAGCTGGCTTGAGGGTGTCTCAGGGGTTAACTGGGACTCAGGGAGCACAAACAGAACAGGGACACACTCTCCCTTCTAGCCAGCCATGTTCACACGTGGCTGCCCACACCTAGGTCAGTGTGGATCCCAGAGCCCCAGATCCCAGGCTTGGTCATCAGTTTGTCAGCGTGAGCCACCTGCTCTCGCACATTTGTTCAGCTGGGTCTGTAAGCAACTTATTCCTCCTCTCCGTTCCTCAGTGTCCTCATCTGTAAAATGGGGATCACAGCAGGGGCTCCTTTATGGGGCTGCCATGAGGATTAAGTAAGAAAATACCTGAAAGCTACTACCATTATTTATTTATTTATTTTTTAATACCAATGCAAAACAACCACGAAGCTCCTGCCTGATCCTGCCAGGTGCTGGGTGCTGGGGACGTAACCATTGACATCCTGTGTTTCCAAGAGCACGTGCCTTGGCTGTAAAGGACAGAGACATCTCTTGCTAGAGAGCTCTGAGCACCTGCTGGTTCAAGAACCACAATGTAGTGGTCCCCACTGCCCCCCACGCAAGCAAGGTCCCACTAAGACAGCAAGGAGGCAGCTCCCACCCTCCTCTCCTATATTCCTGCTGCTGGCACCAACCCTGTCCCTCCGCCCACACCTCCCTGACAATCTGGCTGGAATCTGGGCCAAGCAGGGCCATCTGCTCCCTTCCATCTCCAGCTGTAGCAAGTGAGGCTGAACCGACCCATCCCGGCAGGAAGCGGGTGGCGGGCTGCCTCTGCAGGGAGAAATCACTGCTGATAAGCCTGTGGGGGGTTTTTGCCACCTGACCCCTTCCACCATGCAGAGCAGACTGCCTGACTTCGAGCTGGTCAGGGACATGCCATCACAGGTGTGGCTCCTGCTCCAGGCCTGCGACGGCCAGACAGAGGTGTCTGCCCCCTGGAGGTGGACCTCAGTCCATCCCGGCTGGCCAGGGGTGCTTGAGGGCCGAGCTGCTGTCACCCGGCCATGTGACTGGCACAGTCATGTTTGTGGGGTACACTCCTCCCACCCCATCTCACCTCTGCTTCCACCCAGAACCCAGCAACAAAGCCCACCTTTCCACTGCTTCCGAGGCACTGCCTGATCCAACCTCTGCCCCTTCCTGAATCCCTCGGTGACTGGGTCAGTCACACTGGTTTCTTTTATTTCCCAAGTCAAAATGAAACAAAACAAAAACTGGGCTCCTCCAGGTTTTCCCACACACCATTTCCTGTGCCTGGAGCCCTCTTTCTTCTCACTCTCAGCCCAGCAAACTCCTCGTGAAACTTCAGTTCCAGCTGAAAGGTCACCTCCTCTGAGAGGCCTTCCCTGATCACCCAAATCTCAGCCGAGTTGCCTGAGTTGCTCTCTCCCATAGCACCTTGCATTTCTGCATTTTGGCTTCACAATAGCACCTCTCCCAGTTTACAAGTACGGGGTGATTAGTTAGTATATAGTAATTATATAATTCTTTGTTTAGTGTTTTGGGTTCCACAAGGGAGCCTGGCTCCTAACAAGGGCCTCAGGATTATCTACTGTAGCAAGAGCCCCTGAAATCTACTCTCTCAGCAAACCTCTAATTCTCACTGTAGTATTGATTGTCAGCTATGGTCACCACGCCGTGCATTAGCGCCTGTGTAACTACAGCTTTGAACGCTTTGACCAACATCTCAGAAAAAAAGGTAACTATCTAAAAAGATGGATATGTTAATTAGCTTAACTGGAGTCATCATTTCTACACACACACACACACACACACACATATATAAACACCCTGTTATACACCTTAAATACACAAAATTCTTATTCCAAAACAAAAACAAAGCGGTATCTATTGTGTGAATGTACAAAGTAAGGGGGGAAGAAGGCTCTGGGGCCCCCAGAGCTGCCTGCTCCTGGGGCCACAGGACTGTGGGGACATGGGCACAGCCCAGCAGACACACCACAAGGTGTGTGACTCATGAACTGAAAAGCAACAATATGGATTTTATACAGAAACGAAGCAGCAAATCTCTCTCTCTAAGCCTCCACGGGCAGCGCAGCCAGATCAGGCAGCTGACGGCAGCGGCCCTTTGGCCCACTCCCAGGCTGGCAGTGGGGTACCCCCTCGTTCCCCTCCTGCCAGGAGACCACACCGGACATGTCTAGTTGTTCTTTGTGCAGTCCGGTGCTAACGGTGCTCGGCGCTGTGTTGAGACCTCTGTCCATCCATCCATCAGTCCTCCTGATCCAGTTTGGGGATTAATGACCTGCTGTTTTTACCTGTCTGCTGTGACTGTCCCAATCCACAGATGGGAAAACTGAGGCTCAAACCAGTGAAATGACTTACCCAAGGGCCCATGTCTGGGAACAGCAGAATTCGGATTTCTAACCCCGGCGGGCTGCCTCCAAAGGTTGACCACTCAACCACCTGGCTAAAATGGTGCCTAACAAAGGCCTGGAAAGGGAACACGAGCAGCAGGAAGAGGAGGAGGGTGAACGCAGAAGAGAGCCACAGCGACGACGAAGTGCAAGAAGGGCCAAGATCACTGTCGGCAGCTCAGCGTTCGGGACTCGGTAATCAAGAGAATGACCACTGACAGTCATCACGATGACCCTGTCAGTGCAGTCGGCACATGAGGACGTGAGGCACAGAGGCGAACACGTAGCCTGAGGTCCTGTGGTGAATGAGCACAGCTCTGGGGCTGACACGGGAGGCTGAGTACCATCGCCCTGTCCGTCTGTCTTCCTGCCGCACCTCCACTCCAACTAGACCCCGCCCCACTCGATTCCAGGCACTCTGTTGGCCTGACGCCAGCTGCCATCCCCCACCCACCGGGCTGCTCCCCATCCATGGAAAACCCTGCCCACATCGATCCCACCTCCTCCTCTTCCTCAGGTCCCAGGTCAGCCTTGCCTAGAGTCTCCCAGGGTCCTGCAGGTACAGCCTGGTCAAACCAGTTCTTCTGCTGCCCTTCTGCTCTCCCCTTCCCCAGGGGGCCAGGATTGCAGGGGGG